ATCTTCTTGCAGGACTTTGAGGCGTTGCGGAGTTGAATGGCGCTCAATACCGTTCAGCGAAGACGCTTTTACTTGGAACGTTGCTGGGAAGTCGGTTGAAGGCAGCATATGATTGTGTGAGACGAAACAACGGCGAATACGCTACAGGGTGATGCAAAATGTTTTCAAAGAGGAAAGGACTATACCCGGTCACCGTGAGACGGGGTCACGTATATACCATCAGAAATGAAAACAAAGAGAAGTGGGGTGAACGTCATCGAGCTCCAGAAATGGACACAGCAAGACAAGCGAACAAAGACGACAGCACCAAGAAAACCGAACCGACTACCGTCAATAGTATTTGACGAGAAGATGAGTGTGGTGGTGTGATACAGACAATGTGTACCAACGGAATATTATTCTCACATATTCCCACAGTCCACTACTACATTAGCAACAGAATACTATATTTAACTGAACATTCTATTTCATGTCATTTTATGTAAGCAGAAATCACACTCTCTATGATTGGTTAAGGAATATATAACTGTATCGATATATATAGCTGTTTGGTCACTTGAAAATATACCTTGGCTTCCGTGTCTTGCTTTCTGCTGTTACAGTATTACTGTAAATTAAGTTGAAACTTTCCAATGCATACACAGTTCGTGGTGTGAAATTTTCATAGTAGTTTTTTTAAACGAAATGATCCACATCCCTACAGTATGTGACCTGCTTGATACCATAACAAGGTAATCTGCGTAAATCTGCTTGCTGCCTCGGTTTTCCTTTATCCTATCAATCAAATCACATATTGAGGTGACCTTAATAATTTCTAAAGGAACTTGAACTTGTATACACTGTTACATGTATAATTAGTTTGCAAATTTTGAATTTGATTTTGGTGTGGTTGTATTCTCTGAGCTGGATAGTTAATTTGCGAAGCTCTCATCACCCTACTAGGTGACATCTTCAGCGCATACTTCAGTTTGAAGTGAGCTTTTAGATTTCTCCACGAGTTTATTAATCATCTCTCCCGGTGACCTGGGACGTGATTGGCTGTTTTGGTGTGTTTTCACACTCTCTAGGCTACTTGTATTGGAACTGATTGTTTATTTGACTTGAACTTTGACCCTTTGTGTGTGAGGTTTCTTTCTTATCGGTTGGTAAATATTGTCCATTTTGATGTGTCTGTTGATTGGCTATTCAATGGAATACCAGGCTTCCTCAAATTCTTTGGAGTTTTTGGTGTTTCCTCTATCTAATATTTGAACGTTGTCGCAGTTGAATTGATGTCCATGGTTGTCTGTATGCAGTGAGGTGATATGGGTGAGGGAATAGGATGTCACGTATTTTGACGGCTAGTTTATGATCATGGATACGAAGACGAAGGGAACGTCCACTTTGGCCAATGTAGTGTTTTTCGCAGTCGTCGCAACTTATTTTGTAGACGACGTTGGTTTTATCACGTTTCACTGTTGATTCTTTTGGTTGACACAGAGCCAGCTGAGTGAAGTGATTTTGTTGGTTTGTGTGTGACGCCAATTCCTAAAGGTTTGAAGAGTCTTGCAGTGATTTTTGAGATGTCCTTTATATATGGCAGAGCGATTTTCTTTGTCTTTTTCTTGAAGAGGTGGGCCTTTGACTTTTTAAGTTGGTTTGAGGGTAGTTGACTTTTGATGAAGTTCCGTGGATATCCATTCTTTTGGAAGACGTCTTCAAAGTAGAAGTTTTCCTATGCCTCCTGACTCTCGTGTATAATGTTTTTATGCAACTCTTTTTGTGTGTTACTGGATTTTGTCACTGTTATTGTAATTGAGTGTTTGATCTGTATGAGTTGATTTTCTATAAACTTGAGTTTCTAATTTTCCTCTGTGGTTGTTCGCTTTGTAACTTTATAACAAACGACATCAAAGACAGAGAAAAGGGGCTTAAATTGATTGATTTAATGAACTTTTTTGTAAGGAAAAAATCTGATTGCTTTTCCTCTTACTCTATGCAGCCTAACGTCAACCAATTTACGTTTTGTAGTATTCATAATAAGGGAAGGAAACGAAATGAGATGGCGTAATTTTCCAATCTTGTCCTACATTTACTATAATTTATTTGGTTTCTTTTGTTCCGGATTGTTGTTCCGGTTTTGTTTCTGTGTTGATTGATAGCAAAAATTAGGATTGATTTAAACTATTCAAGATGCTACTTTTTGTTCCCTTTATCTCGTAAACAATTTTCCCTCTGGTATATAATATACCATAACAAATGGATAAAGTTGGAAAGTGATGTTATTCATTGTTTTTTTACGTGACTTGAATAAGATAATAAAGCACTGCAATTGGTCAGAGGATTTCATCATGAGCTGACATCAGCCTAGTTTGAGACTCTTCACCAGTACGTACTCATCACAAGGTTTCTAGGGAGCTCGCAGACCACTAAGCCACTGAGACCCAATTCGATGGTCAACCTATGAATTCCAAATTCTACCAGTAGCCATCGCTTCACATGCCAAAGTGATATTTACAAGATTGACTTCTTGTTCAGCGGATGTCAGTTATTGCCTGTTTTGATTCACTTGTGAGGGTCACGTTGATTGATTCGTCTGAAATATTCAGCCTCTCTTAAGACGTCGGCTCCTGGTGAGCACGCTTTGATCATACCTGCTGAATAAATTGGAGTAATTACTTAAAGCCTGTACTATGAGCTAACACGTTGACATAGGCCGAAAATTGCGGTCCAGTCAATAAATGCTAAAATCAAAACTAAATTTAAATGAATAATATATTGATCCTCATTTACCAAGTGTCACATTACAGCGATTTGATTGGTTACGTGAGTTGATATCAACTGGAGAAACATTGGAAACGCAGCATAGAGTATGGAGAACTATTAGTTGAGTTAATTAGCAGAAGTTGGATTTTAATGACAAAGCGTTCCAGTGGCTTACATTGTAGCCCAAAGTTCCTGAGTCCGAGCTTCGGTGGATGCGTACTGATGAAGAGACCAAAACTAGGACAAAACAGCTGTTCAGTACCCGCAGTTATTTTTCCAGTGCTTTTTTTAAATGATGTCATTTGTTTGATAGCATCTATGACCAACTAAGTGAGTCTGAAGACAGATATTGACTACTACTTGATGAGTGTTATTCAATGAATATGAAAGTATGGAACAAGTGGTCTTGATAGCCATGCTACAACTTACAGAAAGTAGAGGGATGCATAACTGTACTTGAATTATTGGGATAATCGAAGAACTGAAGGTTATTCATCAAGATATGTATTACCAATAAGTAGAGATATTGTTCTGATGTACTCATTTCCACGAACGATACAATAACATACTACTTGAATAAGTAATCGATATTTCTAGACAGCGAAGTTCTGACGTCAATCACGCTGAACACTTCTTCAACATTTTAACTGAATTTTAGATTTTCCCGTCGATTGATTGGACCAAAGTGCTTGGTTTCAAACGCCAAAGCGTTGTCCATTAGACCACTTGGGCCACGGCAGCCACCTCTTGGGCACTGGGTTTGAGAGTCGGTGGGAATATCATCACTCACTGGGAAATGCAGGTACATTCAGATGACGAGTCCCTAATAAGACGAAATGCTCATCCTGGTGGACTCCACCACTAGTCACCATCCAACCGACTAACTTCTTCATCATGTTATTCTCCACAATTTTTAACAAATGTTTAAGATTTTTCACCTTCAAGGGAATAAAGTGCAATTACGAATGGTGTGATAATACCATCAGAAGTTGATATTGCCTGAAGAACCCTTCCGAATCTTGATTTCATGCGACAGACAACATCTTAACAGGGTAGACCCTACTGGATAGGTTTGGGCTGGCTGAAGAATACACCCTGGTTTCAGTGATTCCTTGGCTGAAATCGGTAATATTATCGTTACTCCCATGGGCTCCCATTGTAACATAGGGCTTCGACAACACACCTCCTTTTTGTTCTATTTGATGCTGTTATCTTCAGCTGAAACGACGATTGCCTTTAATCTCTCATCTCCTCCTCGCCACATGATCTCCTCCATATCACCCTGGGACGACAACCGACAACCTTAATAGTAATTATAATTATTCACTCCTTGTGTTTGAAAATACAGTCTTATCAGTAAACATCCAACTGTCTCCAAGAGTGCTTAGAATTCCTGCTTATATGATCTACACCACGTTATACTTGGATGCTGGTTGCTTCCCATTCGGGTTCCATTTGAGCGTCCTGCGTCTAGTCCACTTCCATTTCTTTTATCATATTTGCTACTTCGCTATCACAAATCCTACAGGAATAATAAAACTATATTGAAGTAGTAGAACGCTTAAAGTATCGTGATGTAAATTACACTTAATGTATGAAAGCTTGCCACGCTAAGGTAGGTAAATCAAGACCCAAACTGAAGACTCATTTTTTTTTCTGTTTGAGTTCAGACTGGTACATAGGGATTCAACCTTTAAGCTTCAAAGTAGCAGCAACTGTTTCATGAAGTGTTGTCGCTAACCTCAGATTCAACCTTCACTCAGCAACTGACATACTACCAGCGAATCTAGGTCATTCGAAGTGCGCCAGTCTAGAATCGAATGTGTTCCACACCAGTAGCTAGCAAATATTCTACAAGATTCGTTGACTGAAGGTTAATGCATGTTAACCTACAATATAACTAAATTCTCAAAGACTTCAAGTGACCTCTGTAATTCTGTGCGTTCTGTTAACAGTTACTTAGTAGTCAGAATTAATTCTTCAGTCCAGATGAAACCACTTTTTTCAAGGTTTCAGTTACGCATTGAGATTGCCTCCAAATATCTAATAGGAATTTAAAAGGTGTGCAGTTAGCGACAGTCCCAAAGCGCCACTAAAGATCAGATGCGTAACACCGGTTAATCTACAGTAAGCAACCGATGAACACAATATATATAAGTAACAATAAACTACTTAAATAATCATTGCTGTCAGTAGTGTATCTAATTAATCGTAAAACTTTTATTTCCTTATTTTCTCTTCTCCTCTTCAGGTAGTCATTTAAATCCCACGCATTCATCATTATCTCTACAATTAGAAAATGGATCTTTTTTAGTCAGTGATACGTACACAGACAATATACAACTGGATGATTTGGCTGCACCGAATGTAAGTTTTATGCTGTCTCTAACATTCTATTCATTCAAAATTAACAATTCTTGTATGAGTGCGCTGAAAAAGTTATCAGTGAGTAGAATAGAACTGTATTGCTATGTGATTTACGGAGTTAAACTCCAACAAAGTATCCAAAATTCATGTTTTTATGTCCATGTAAGTTTCCATCACAGATGAGGACGTTCAAGCCAGATAGGACCGTAAAAGCAGGACGGATATTCGGTATATAAGTATATAAGTATAACTTCATCGGTGGCGCAGTGGTTAGGAATCTCGTCAATCATGCACATGGTCCGAGGTTCGATCTCCTGCCGACGCACACCCGATATCTATGGTCGGCCTGCAAAATTCGGGCTACCGATATCCATGCTGAAAATTCCATACTTGTACTGAAAATACGGTGTGGCATCTAGCTGTAATCAAAATAAAAAATTAAATAATTAATAAAACTTGTGCACTGTGGTAGAGTATAACTCCATTATAGATAAGATTTTATTCTGATAAATCACACAGTAATATTAATTGATGACCACAAGTTTCGAGCACAAACTATTGCCACTCATAATCATATCAAGTTACTCACACAACATTTTCCTTCATTTGCATACAATGTGTGGAATTGACTAGATATCTGAATAAAAATCAAAATGTGATAATGTACATTTAGAAATAATAATATGAGTGTTATTAATCAAATACACTCAGATGGGAAATAAGGCGAGTGTTTTTATAGTCATAGCACGTGTTGTGGTAACTTCTGACAGGTACCTGTTCATTTCCCATCGACAAAGAGAACGACCACTGTTATAGACAGGAGCAAGTCTAGATTCCGGATAAATTGTAGTAAGGGTAATTTTTGACCTCTTGTTCTTCATATCATTCAAAGGTTAGTTGAATGAATGTAGGCTTCTTCGAGACAGTATTAACGTTTCTTATCATTGACATAAATTATTCTGTATCGTCTTTTAAACTTCTTTGGGCACTTTTTACTTCAAACAATCCCTTTTCAAAAAAATTCAACTGCTCATACAATCTGTGTGTAGAGCAAACTTTCCGTATGCTGTCTTAAACAACCGCCTGACTTATTCTTGTTTGTACTGAAGCCGAAACAAACCAGTCAACAACCGCTGAATGCGCTTTTGTTTATTTAATCAATGACAAAAACTACGCCTTTTAAATTATTACCCTTTTATGTTTGTGTGTGTATGCGATTTTTACGTGTTTCTTATTTTGATGGCATGAATTAAGGCTTACTCAACGTTCCTTATTATCATTTTGTAGGCCTATTTCCGTTTTACCTGCTACACAGAAACAGATGGTGAGATAGATAGCGAGATAGATTTTACAAAACATACTAATTGCGTAACACAATCATATTTCTATAAGAAAATAACATCCCAGATAACCTCCAGGATATATATATGCTACATAATATACACTGAGACCCTTGACTATTTTTACATTTTCTCAGTGAGTATTGTCAACAAAGCTGGTTAAATCTCTGACTTTTATCACTATTATTATGATGACTAGTAGTAGTATTAGTATTTATGACATTTGCCTAGTAATCTGTTGTGACTGTTTAGATAAAACTCAGCAGTCAGATATGAGTAGCTCCAATTTGTTATGCCTTAAGGCTGAACATTTTGACACAGTATTGTCAGTGCTGGGGAGGAAAAAAACCAAGGAGAAGGGGAAACAGTCGACAGGGAGAGAAAGAAAAAGAACTAGGGGTTGAAACAGTCATATCAGTGAGATAATTGGCGTAGGCAGAGACACAGGGTGTGAGACAGAAAGAGATATGCTGACAATTACATATTAGCAGACGATTCCCAAGAGATGTATATATATACGTATCGTCATTGGCAACCGATAGCAACTTTTAACTAAATAATCCCCTTTTATTGCACAAGACACTAATATATTACTCTATTATCATTATTATGGTTTAATTATATTTTTACGTAAATATTAATTCACATTTATGACAAGAATATTGGATATAATAATTTTGTTATACCGTAGGTGTATTTTTTGTCACCTTATATTATTATATATTATTGTATCCTTTAATTCCTACAGAAATATATGGCTTCAGCCGTGCGTCTCGATTGCGTTCTGTTCTCTGCTAGAGTCGTCACCTGGCTCCATGTCTGCCACCCACATGCTGTCATCTCCTCTTCACATGACCTCCTCCAAGTCACCCTTGCACTGACGACCAACTCGTCGCTTCCCATTCGCCGGGTTCCACTCGAGCAATGGCTTGTCGAGTGATGTCACTCTATTGATGGTTTCCTCAGAGTATGGCCAGCAAATCCATCTCCATTTTTTCCTGCCTATTTGTTTCACAATCGGTTCCTGCTGTGTTGGTTCGCTCATTGCCAGAGATCCCTGTTGCCGATCTTTTCTGGCCGTTCCTCTGATCTTGAGTATTGAGCGAAGACAACTAGCTGTTAATGAAGGTCTGTAGTTTGTTTGAGATGCTCTTTATGACGCGCTGGTCAAGTCTCTGATCCGTATAGTAGCACTGACTTCATATTGGAGTTGAAAATCCGGATCTTATTTTTGATGCTGAGTGCTGTTGACCTCCACACAGACTTGAGAGTAGTGAAAGCTTGTCTTGCTTTTCCGATTCTTGCTTTGATATCCTCGTCAGTTCCGCCGCCTGTAGTTAAGACGATGCCTCCCAGGTAGGTAAAAGAGGTTGTTTCTTCCAGCTTTCTCCCATTTATGCTGATTGCTGTCAGTTGTTGTTGTTGCTGTTGGTGGTGTTGCCCGGGAATTTTCATCACCTCTGTTTTATCTATGTTCACCTGAAGTCCTATCTCCTCTGGATGCTTCTTCTGCTAACGTGTTGCTTTTCACTTGCATGTCTTCCAGTTTGTGGGAAGTCAGACACATATATCATCGGCAAAGTCCAGATCCTCCAAGTTTTTTTGTGTGAGTCCATTTTATGCCTGTTTCCTCATTGCCCGCTGTTTGTCGCATTATCCAGTCTACTGCAATCAAGAAAATCATTGGCGATAGTAGTTAGTCACCTTAGAAACTAGTCAACAGATCTGCCTTTCAGAAGATAGGAATAAGCTGGACTGACTGATAAGAAGACTCTAGAAGGTCTGGATTTCGCGCGTGAATGATTTATTTCTAATGTCACACAAATTAGAAGACTTATAGGCGAAAACTAACAAGCAGTAGCTGGCCAAGAAAAGACTTCAAGGGAATATAGAGAAGCACCAATCACTATCAGTGGGAGATATTTGAAAGAGGTCACTTTCTTCACTTTTCTGGCCAAGTAACACGGTTTCAAACCCAGACGGATACCACGGAAGGAGATGTCAAAGCCAGCATTGAATCGGAAAGGGAAGATACACCTTCACCGCCCTGAAATATGTTTGAAAACCTTCTGAAATCTGCCCAATATACAAGAAAATTCAGATTTTTAGTAACAATAATAATAATAATTTGCTTTATTCCAAAACAGTACTTGTGATACAGAATAGAATTCTCAGCACTTTTTACTACAGTACTGCATCCAGTTAGTACATTATCAATAAATAAAATTCTACATAGATTGAGAAAACCACAGTTCATTATTACAACAACACATTGGCGTGTTAGTAGCAAAGCCAAAGTTGAACAGGGTTTGAAGGTGTTAGAAAAGTAGGTGTTGTCATATTTATTGGCATAAGCGAGAGAAAGAAACAAAGCAGCACATAACGGAAAAAAAGAGAGAGAGAAAAGGAAAAGAAAGAAAGAAAATGTTGTACCTATTGATGATGTGAATTGGAAAGACGAGATCCAGTTGTTCTACTGACTATTTAATGAATTATAGGTGTCACGCCTAATGCTTTCTTTATCACACAGAACACGAGCTTAGTAAGGTATGGTTGAGTTTTTGTACTTGCTGGTGCGAGCATATTGTTTTTTTATATAGGCTTCTGGTTTTGCCTGATGAGATGCAAGGGGAGAGTTGTGAGTGAAGAGGGTGGTGTGAGTTAGATAAAATGGATTCGGCCCATTTTTTCACATGAGTCCATGTGCCTGTCAACCAGAATATTAACAAGCTGGTTGAGTGACACGTTGCTTACCCTGCTGACAACCTGTACCATCCTGCATAATATGTTATAGTCTTTCTTCAGTAGCCCGGGAAAAACTAAGGGGGAGCAATAGAGAATGATAGGCAGGATGCGAGAGTTAACGAATTGTAGGAGTAAGGGTTGGGTTATACCATAATGTTTTAACTTCTTAATGTAGAAGGTAAGACGGAATATTTTATTAGAAATTGCTAAGACATGAGACAACCAGGAGAGATCAGCAGATAGAATGACGCCTAGATATTTTATTTCCGATTTGGTTTCGATTTCAGTGTCGTCTATGTTGCATACCTCGTGAGAGCCAACCAGTTTGTTTAGGTCGGATTTATGCCTCAAGGTGAAAATGACTGTTTGGCATTTGGAGGGGTTTAGGGTAAGACCATTTTCCTTGGACCACTGGCTAATTTCTGACAGAAAGCCATTAAGTTTAGAGCAGTCGCTTTGACATTTGACAGGCAAAGATACAGTCAGATCGTCAGCATATTTGACAAAATTAATGTCATTTGAAGATGGTAAGTCATGTAGAAAGAAAGAAAAGAGAAGTGGGGAGAGTACAGCACCTTGGGGGACTCCGGCTTCAGTGAGTACAGCAGAGGATGATTTACCTTTGTATACGGTGTACTGCATTCTGTTAGAACAGTAGGAATGCAACCAGTTAGTGACCTAGGACTCGGTTTTTGTCCAAGAGAGCTTATTTAGCAAGAGACATCTAGGTACAGAGTCGAAAGCAGAAGTGAAGTCGAGAAACGTGCAGCGGACGTATTTGGCACCTTTATCTAATGGTGAGATGATGTTGTACTAATAATAGGTCAGTTCTTCATTATGAGTTATGAAAAGCCTTTCTAACAGGCTGATGCAGGCTTCTATCAGCAGCTGCCACCTTCGCTCCATATTGAAGAT